ATCCCATAAAAAATGCATCGCTTTCTTCAAGGAGTGAACAGTAAAGGGTTAATTGTTGTTAACATGGCTTACATATAATTGGCTAGGATGGCTTGTCAACATACCATAATCACATAATTATTTATCATTGTTTCGCCTGTACACAAAAGAGAAGCAATGCATTTTTCCTATACAAACAAGACAATAGATATAGGGGATAAATGTGTACAAAGCACTACATGCAGTATTATTCACTTTAATACAGTAACTAATATTTCATGATTGCTTTGTGTTTGAGTGCACATGATTATCCGTTGCATCAGCTAAATGCGAAAAGAAAGTAAATAATAATAAGCTCAATCCATTTTATCAAAGAAAATCAGTGCTAACTCCAATTTCCTGTTTTCTTTGTCAAGTTGCCCTTCTGATGCCATAAATCCTATTTATAACCCCAGACCTAAAAATACACATCACTTGATTAAAGACGGGCATCCATTAAGAAAGGAAATAGTACTTTTATCGGATGAAGTGGTAATTAGTTCCACTACGGCTCAATGCACCGGTTGTAATTCTATTGGTTATAAATACTGTTGGGCCTTGAGATGGAGACAGGTATCCTATCAAAGGTTGGTGCAAAGTATTTCACAGATTACGTGACAGGATGCTTAAACACAGGGCTATTAAGAGGTTTTTTTTTATATATATATATATATATATATATAAAGGAGGAAGTGAACCAGCGGTCATCTGATACACAAGGCAACAAAACAACCTTATGTGTCCAGGACAGCGTGTGCCGGGGACTTCGCCCAAGGTCAGACGGTGCTCCTCGGAGACAAATAACCTCCGCTTGTATAATCTTAGGGATGGACTGAGAATGACTTTGGGTAATAACAAATAATGACCCCCTTCACCATTGCTTCACCATTGCAGGAATAACAAGCTGTCCTTTCCAACCAAAAGCCTGAATAAAATTACCTCAGCATCAGTGTAGTATTTTCTGTAATTGGTGCTTTTTATAACAAAACAAAAAGGTACCATTTGAAGATATATGTAGACATGTCTTTGATTTATTTTAATTTTCTACATTTTTATATTTACTTGATGATTATTTGATCAGTATTGTTGAGTTACAAACGTAATAATGCTGAGTGATATTCTAGATGTTTTATATAATTATTGTTGTAACATAGGATATTGCTACATCTGGTTTTTCAAATTTGATTGAAGGCAGAAGGACAGGCCTAAGTTAATTAAGCAAAGTAAAGTCAAGTTGCAAGTTCACCAGGTTGTTCGCCAGCCGGTCAAAGTGGTATGTATATTAAGATATGTAATTTTTATTTTTTTTTCATATTATTTATGTACTGCATCCTAAGTTGTGTCATTTTGTATTTTCTAATGGAATGGTGTGAACTGTTGAAAGTAGTTGAAGAAAGTGCACTGTAAACATCAGTCAAAGAATCTCTCATGCCTCTCGTGTGCGTTCGTGAACAAGGCGGCATAAGAATACCGGCTATGCCTCTTTTTTGTTGAAAATCTGTATATTGTGCTCCATTCATCACCAACCCACCGCTGCTCTCTTTATGAATTGTTTTGTGTGGTGGATTCTTTTGCCACCACTCTACAGTGTAAGTATTTTCTGTTACTGTCATTTCCTTTGAACCATCATTCACAGTTTTTTTTTTTTGTCAGGCCAGCCGAAGCACAAGACTGGGGGGGGGGCTGGAGGCCATTTTATTTGGACACGGGACAGTCCACAGCTCCCAAGGACTTGGAGGAGGGAAAGAGACACTGGTGTACATTATAATTGTGTTTCAGTTGTTTTTCCCCCTTTGTGTGTGAATTTATAACTTATATCTAAGCCTCTCCTTCTTGGTTCTTGGTTGGGTGGGTTTTTCTTTTGTTCAGTTAGGTTGTTTACTTACTTACTAGCTGTTAGCATGCTGAACTCCATGTAGCTTGTTGGCCATATGGACTTTGATGTATGTTGTATTGTAGTGTTAGACGTTTCTTATCTTTTTTATGTTTTTATGCCCTGTGCTACACAAATGAATGGTTGATTCTGCATGATAACGCTTAACTGGCTATGGAAGTGCCATTAGTGCCATTAAGCTTTTAGTATGAATGAATTAATTTGGTCTTGTCACCTTCAGATGATGAACAAAAGAGTTGCCTCTATTATCAGATGATTTGCCTTTGTCATGCTACTTTATGGAATCAAGCAAGTCACACACAATCTTAAGCGCCAACTCCCCTTTATTATGGTTTGTATATACTCTTGTGCTCAAAAGAATTTCTTCAAGTGCTGCAGCTCAAAGCAGCTTGTCTTGCTTTGTGTTATTCATCCCACATTGTTGTCAAAAGCAAGCATCAAACGCAGAGTGTTTGATGCTGGTGTGTTTGTTTTCTTTTATATTAACCATTTCTGTCTGGATCTTTTATAAATGCCCAGAAAACTGTGGTCATCAACCATCTCATGAAGAAGAGCAGAGGCGTCCCTTGCCATTAGGCAAGGCAGGCAGCTGCCCGGGGCCCTAAAACCGGCAGCCTATACAGTACAAGTCGACACAAGCGGTCGTCTTGTACAGGCTACAACAGCTACCTGCAGTGATGAGTGATGGATCATTTTTTTCCGTCCGATGCAAAACTTGCCACGTTCTTTAGTTATAAAGCCTGCCCGGAGACAAGGAAGTGTAGTATGCCATAGTGGTCTAGTGGTTAAGTTGCAGCACTTGCGCCGCGACAACCCAGGTTTGAATTCAAATGAATCTGAAATATTGGATTAAACTATATATTTTATATTCTATGACAGATTGCTCAAGAACGGTAAAAGGTAAAAACAATGTCAATTGCCAATTGTCAAAGTAAAGAAAAACCTCCAAATGAAAAACTAATATAATATGTTCCAGTCTGGCTTTAGACCCCACCACAGCACTGAAACAAATGCATACTGAAACAGGCAAAGTCCTAATCCTGTTAGATCTAAGTGTTGATTGTCGTGTCGAGAGTGTTGTAGAGAGACTTGTACACAAGCAGAGCTGTTTTAGATTCTATTCTCTGAGCCACAGGAAGCCAGTGCAGAGACCATGTAGTACAGTCTTTAGCAGCATTCATAAAGGTTGGAATATCATAGCATCATAATACAGTGTTTGACTTCAGCAAAACATCACTATCAAAACAGTTTAATAGCTTAAATACGTAGCCTATATCAGTCCAAAAGAATTTAATAACACCAAAACTTATGGCTGCTACAAGACTGTTTATCTGAAATTATGTGTACATGATAAAGTACGGCAACATTAAACTGAGAGCTTCCTACTTCACCAATGTCTGGCAATATGTAGCTCGCTCAAATGCATTCTTACCACTGCATAGACTCTTTTTATATTTGATCTTTCATATACTGTATGCACAAGTCTTCTCATTAGTAGTAGTATTTAGTATAATTATTGTGTCTAGCTCTAGTGCTCGAATCCTCTTCAATTGGTTATTTTTATTTTCAATATATTTACTTTTTATTTGAAGTGGTTGTCTATGAAACAGTAAGGTGTACTTGAGGGCTTGTTAAAGTCTGCACTTCCATGGGCTGAAGGAAAAGAGAAAGAGTTTCAAAGTTTGCAGACAGTGAAGGACAGTTTAGAGGTCCAAGGTTTAGCCTCTTTCTAGTGGATGATTGAATTTCTTGGCAGGGGATTCATTAAAATGATAATTCGTATTTATGAAGTCCTTTAAAAAATTTAAAAAACTCTGCGTGTACCACTTCCTTTTAATTAACTTCTTTCTATTCTCATTTGAGTCTTTCTTTAGTCCCTTCTTCTTTGCTTTGCTTCCGACTGAACTTGACACACTAATAGGTTATGAATATTTCTGTTTCAGTTTGGTTGGCAATTAGCGACTATGCCTGAGGCCATTCTTATTTTCCAGTCGACTCGGGTGGTGAATGTAGATACTTTTTGTAAGCACACCTTTTACTTCTTTCTGGTTTGTTCTGGTTCACATAAAGCTCATTAATTAAATGACATGTTGAATAATACGTTGTCAAGGGAGTCCATATACTGTATCTAAAACATTATCCATGTTATCTTTTCAACCATGGACCATTCATAGATCTAGATGAAGAGAGATGTACCATATATAACATTATATGGGCAGAATGCTTCACAGATTGCAGAAGCAGCACTTTGATAGATCACTTATAGTGGAAAATAAGAAGACACAAGCAAATCACTTTTAGAACAAAGGAATGAGCACCGAGCAGTAAGAGTTTCATATTGTTATGCAGGCGCTGTCGCTGTTGTCCCTCAGAACATTTTCGCTTTTGCTAATTAGCCGTTTGACCACAAGGGTAACAGCACGCCTTAGCTGCTGGAACTGATACATCAGACACAAGTGAAGCGGCTGTCATTAGGGAGACATCAATGCGATGGCAACAGCACACACAAAGAATGAGAACAAAAGCTGGTCCGTATATTTGATAATAACACTGAAGAGGATGCTCGTTTTGAAAATATGTGTCTCGAGGACTATAGAATTGAATATACATGGTTTGAAAACACGCAAACCTGTTCAGGAACTATATACAATGTGAAATGACACTCAAAAACATAACACTACAATAAAGACGAAAATAAAAGTAGATTCTTGCGTACAAATGCTGCTTCATCACGTATATTATAGTAAGGCAGCAGATTATAGGGCACTGCCTCATCACTTCTTATTAGCTTTTACGAAGTAGCATGTTTGTGTGATGCAGCAGACACTTAGCCCTCGTTGAGAGCTAAAAATAACTGCACACTATCAAGAGTAAAGAATCTTCCCCGCAGCATCACATCAAACCAGAGGACTTGCACTTTGGAGAGTGATCAGGAGGGTTAGGTGTCCCGCCCAAGGCTGCAGCCACTGTCTGTCTGCAGTGCCTTTGAACCCCAGCCCTCTGTGAGTTTGTGTAAGGCATAGGCTAAGGTGAAACAGCCAGCTTCAGTAAAAGTGTCTCATCAGCAGTGATATGTGGAGGTACTCACACATAACGGTGAGGAAAACATTCCCCGATGCCAAGACGACTTTCTCCCTCGTCGCCCGGTCGTAAATGCCCACATGACATTCATAGGGGCCGTTGTCCGAGATCCGAACCTCAGGCAGCCTGCACGCAACGAGACACATGTTAGCCAAGAAAATCGTCTTTCCTTTGACATTGAGAATAGAAAACAGTCACCCAAATGTTGCAGAATGGTTTGTTAAAATGTAATTACAAGACTGTAGACAATAGCAAGGTAAAACCCATTGGAAAACCTTGAAAAGTGAACGGGTGAGATCAAAAGTGTGCACATCTAGCTAGAAATTTCATTATTTTGGCCATGTCTTAGTATTCATAGATAGACTAATTTCACTCATTATTAGCGGATGTGTGAAGGTATTTATTGCCGCATTTTCTATTTAAATTTCCAAGTATCCTAACTGAGGCTATCTATAGAGATCTCAAATGTGCATTTCATGGAAGGCGGCCCGGGAATTTACCATCAGAGAAGATACTCTACCAGTCTACCTCATCCTCAACTGCCACAAAAGACACCAAGCTGCCATAGATATTGATCATAAATATATTGGAATGAAACATTACTGAGAAGTGGGGAATTTGAGCAGTTTCTGTTGTGATTAGAATTGAATTTAAATTGAAAATGTGCATTTGACAATAAATTGCATAGCACATAACATAATGATTCATAATGAAAATGGTTTTGTGCATTATCATTCACAATTCTGGACTATGTATAAAATAACATGAAATAAATGAAATAGCGATTTTTCTCTATAGTATTAGTATTCTTATTTGGTGTTTTTATGACACCAGCGATTTCCTGACATATTTTAGAGACGTTAGTGTAGAACAAAAGTCAGATGCCCTTGAGAATGTGCACGTTTGCAGCAGATTTGAAAACATTGTTGTTTTGGAGTTGAAACTAATGTCCTCGGGGTGACTTCCTGGCACAGAGACAATAGCCGACATTTGGATCCGTCAGAGAAAAGCAGGTGACCATTTGCCGAATGCGCGATCTGTATTCAGCGCTCGACTAGTGTGTCAACAGTGATAATCAGACGGAGACGCCATCAGTCACATTTAGCCCCTGTGATTTATTCCGCAAAAACAGCAACTCTTGTTCTTGCCACCTGGCTGTGTGTGAAATATCCTGTTGGGGAAATGGCAAAGCATGACTGACAACTGACCTGACTCGAATCTGATCCAAAAAGCAAAATATTAAAGTTGTGTGTTTGAGGTATTGCATAAATCCAGTCCTGGCCAAATGTCTACATACATGACAACATACATGCATAACTTAGAGACAGCATGTATTTTTTTTGGTCATTTTTTATACATCAAAATGCACAAACAACAAGAGAGCATCATATATCCAGTCCAATCTACTTTATTTATTCAGCACATTTCATAAACATAGTTTCCAAAGTGCTGCACAATAAAATACTAATTACAACAAATCCATGGTAAAACTGTAAAATCATTAATAATCAAATAGGAAAAACCGTGTGTGCATATATGTATAAATATAAAAATTTAAATAAAACACAATAAAAATATATACTAAACATTAACTTTGTGTAAGCCCTCAGTCGTACAGGGATTAGTCAAAGCAAAGGAAGGTTTCTCACCCATCATCTGTACTGTACTTGCTAAGAAGTACAGATGATGGGTGAGAAACCTTCCTTTGCATAAACTAAACATTGTTTCTATAACTAAACTCCAGCAAGTGGATTCCATCAGCAATGTCATGTGTCAAAGGCAGAATGATGGATTGTAATTGTGTTGACTTTATCAGACCACAAATCACATACTGCCCCTTTAAATGATTAAAACAAGGGTTGGAAAACGTTCATGAGAGAATACAATGAATGATTATAAAAAACAAGAATGCAAAGATTTCCGAAACTAAAATGTATCTTTGATTTTTAAAGCTAGGTACCCAACTAACTTTATATCATAACATACAACTTTAACTATGCAACAAAACTCATCTATCTAGTTGACAGATGTCACAATGGCGCAGTGGATAGAGCTTGTACCTATCAGCAGGGAGGGAAATTCTAGGTTGGTTCACCTTTCTGTGTTGAGTTTGCATGTTCTCCCCGTGTTTTCCCTTCCACTAAATTATGTATAATAGGTCTGGCATGGTGACCCCACTCCTATCTCTATGTGGAGTGAGAGATTTGAGGCTCTGGTCTGTAAAAAGCGCTATAGAAATGAAAATGACAAGTTCCTTAAAACAATTTGGTTCCTTAGCCACTGGTAAAAAAATAAAAAAATCTGCATATGTCACATAACTGAGCTGAGTGGGAGAGAAACTCAGCCCGACACGTATTATCTATCAAAACCCCCTTTAGCTTTACTGTATAGTTGATGTGTTTGGTTCTTTGATTGTCTGGCAAAAAAACTGAAAATCCACCTTTCGGCAGAGTGTCTGGATGTTTTCTGTTGGAGGTGGTGTTGGAGGTGATACTGTAGACACTACTGTCCAAACACATTACAACTGGCAGAATGAATGTCCACAAGATTTTCAGTGTTATATCCAAGTGCTGTGGAATTGTGCCTGTGACATGTGAATGGATGTCACAGTGTGGACTTTTAAAATCTTTTTTATTTTGATAATTATTAAGTTGCTTGTTGTTTTCAGTTATAATTCCTGTCCGTCCTGTTGATCGTTTGCCCCACCATGATGTGTTTCTCCTGGGTTTTCTTTTTTCCCACATTTTCTTTGATTTTGCATAGTTATTATGCTGTATTTGGATTCATTTTATTCAAATATTTTCTGTCTTGCATTTTGGTTCCTTCTTTTGTTTTCCACCACATGAAACACAAACACCCACTGCAGTGTCCCGGGTATGCACAGCAGGACAGACTCTCTCTGGTCTCGCTCTAGTCTCTTTCTTGTCTCTCTCTAGTCTCTCTCAAGTCCCTCTGGTCTCTAGTCTCGCTCTAGTTTCTCTGGAATCTCTCTGGTATCTCTCTAGTCTCTCTTGTATCAGTGGTCTCTCTCTAGTCTTATTCTGGTCTCTCTCTTATATGTCTCTGGTCTCTTTCTGGTCCCTCAGGTCTCTCTCTGGTCTCTTTCTGGTCTCTTTGGTCATGTATCCCTCTATTCTCACTGATCTCTCTCTGGTCTCTTTCTCATTTATCTGGTCTCTTTTTGGTCGGCACAATGGCCTGCATTCAGGAGGCTCACAGATATTGGGAGAAACCAGCTTAAACCAGTTCAGTGTATTTTTTCTTATGTTTAGTTGGTACTGTGTATTGCTGGTCATAGGAGAAGCTCATACAGCAAAGAACATGAGAGACGTCCGGGGGGATTTTCTTTGCTTTTTTTCCAACTATATAATAATGATCCATAGGTTTCAAATAAAAGCATGCCAAAACATGAACTTTGTTTCTGTTCCTTTTTTAAATTATAGCAGTCAGAAAAGGCATAAAGCAGTTAAAACAATAAGCACAAATTCATGAAACCCGATCTTCTCAAGTGATTTTTTTTGATAATTTTACTCCAAAAGACCTTATGCTCAATACACACATCCAGCACATTCTCGGCTGTCTGCTTTCATATCACATCAACCACAGAGAGAGGACAAGTTGCATAAGAATAATCCTGAACAAACATTTTTTCAACAAATGTTTGAAAAAGCTGGGAGTTTTTCAAAGCTAGTATGCACCTGGAGATATAAAAGCTGGTGTCTTCCTCGAGGGAGCAGCATAACACGGCTCTTTTCTCCTCCCTGAAGCCGGTGAAATGGTGAGACGAGCTCCGAGAGTCTCTCCCTGTGGTGGATGCGGGGGGAAGTAATTGGCTTTGTCTTGGGTGCCGCCATAATAGGAAATGCTGATGTAGTCTATTGCTTTGTTTTTACAAACTAAGCCGTGTTATCCTCCATCCTGACTGCTGTATTCATGAGTTCCAAGTATTGCAAGCAAAAAAAGAGAATGAGGAGAAAAGATAATGCAAGAATGTGCAAGGAGAGGAGAGAGGGTGAGGAAGATGTAAAAATCCAACAGAGAACATATCCGCCTCAGAATTAAAAATACATTTCTGCGTAGTGTATCTAGTGTATGTATTTTAAGGACTATTGAGGGATATGATATACTTATACTTTAACTTTTACACTTATAATCACTTATTTATTGTGCTAATGCCAGATATTGTATACTTCTTGCTTCTTTACTATGATAAAGTTGACAATTTTAGACTTGATTGCGTATTATGCTAAAGCTAGAGATTTTATTTTATTGTTCACGAATAAAGCATCTCTTAATCTTAAACCAGTGTTCCATATTTCAATGAAATGCCCAAAAAGTGTGACATTTGTTTTCACAGTGGCGCCCCCTGCAGGTGAAAGGTGCCGCCACCCTGACCCTAACCCTGACCACTGAACTGAAGTAAAATTCAAATATTGGAAAACATCGCAACATTTATGTTTTAGAGCACACAAAAACTGTTGCATCTACTCAAAAACTGCTGCCACATTAATCACAAAAATAATCTAACATGCATTATATAATATGTGTGATGGTAAAATTACACTTTCTCAATACATCTTTTGACAAACATCTCAAATTGGTACATTGCAGAGGAGCTTGCAACACGCCCATTTCTAACACTCAACACACATTTACAGTCAAGACTCTTACGCAACAATCAAAGCAAATAGAAATAGGTTTCTGTAGGAGTGAAATATGCAGTTCACAGAAAACACAAATCAATTCTATGCAGCAGAATGACATCATGTTATGAGTAGGCCTCTGCTCTGCGCTCTTTCTGCCTACGCCAGACTTGCACCTGACATTTCAAAGAATCTGAATATTACTGCATCTCAAAGCTCTCCCCTAAATTCTCCTCCACTCTCCTACTACCGCTGCTGCTACTTCGTCTGTAAACCGCGAGAGCCGCCGGAGGAGCCGTGTGCATAATCAGCCGTATTTGTGGAGTAAAATGCATGACAGCAGAATGACAAGGATAAGGCAGGATTTCTTTCAGCGCCACAAGAGGTATGATTATCTTTGTGTCGGTTGCTTGCATTACAGTAACTGCTGATGAAGCTAATCTCCCGCTCTTTATCCACACAGCACCTATTTGTGTTTGATGT